AAGCACTTTCGGTTTTGACTACAAGCCATCACTCAAGATCTCCAAACCAGAAGTAATGGATTACATCGGTTTTCATCCTCCGAATCACAGATGAGTAGTAATTATAGATCATTTTATAATTCTGTTTTCTACTTATCATTTAATTTCATTTTCTTTAGTTAAATTTTTGCTTTTATTTTGGCTTAAAAACCTTGCACAATGTCTGATGTTCATGCCGTCCAAATTCCGGTTTATAACCGATCAGACCCATCTTTATGGTTTATTATGTGTGAAAGTACCTTTGCTCTTGCCACCCCCAAACCTATCACAGAATCCATTACTAAATATAATTATGTAGTTTCTCATCTTCCTCCAGATATCGCATCACTAGTACGGGATTTACTTATGAAACCAGACCCTATTGATCCATATGCAAAGCTTAAAACTGAGTTAATAAATCGTTCAGGAGAATCTTCTCAGCAAGAAATTCGCCAATTATTATCTGGAGAAGAATTAGGTTCTCGAAAACCTTCCGATTTGCTTAGAAATATGAAACGTCGAGCAGAATCTTTAAATGTTCCTGATAACTTAACTTAATGTTAGAATTATTCCTTCAACGTTTGCCTTCGACTGTTCAGTCTATTTTGGCAGCGGTTTCCAATTTAACTGTAGATAAAGCTGCAGAAATTGCCGACAGAATTTTAGAAGTAAATCCAACCCCAGGGACTTGTGCCGTTTCTCGCACAGTCGATCAGTCTCTTGAGGATAAATTATTTAAACAAATAGAAAAATTAAACAAACGTATTGATCGCATTTCTCTTTCTCGTGGTCGCTCGCCAAATCGCGGAGAGATCGCAATAAGGAAAGAAGCAATTCCAAAAGGAGAGATTATTCTGTTTGCTGGTATCATAGACGTTTTGGGAAAAAGTGTAGAGATGACAAATGTACAAAACCTTGTTCATGGCAGGGAAACGAAACCAGCAAAGAATAGAGGCGACTTATTCTTTGCCTCAAGTTTCACGTCGCCTGTTCGTTCGTGACCGTAGAACAAACCTTTCATTCTTGGTCGATACCGGCTCTGACGTGTCCTTACTTCCAGCAAATAATTCTCAAAAACGGAATTCGTCCCAACAAACACTTTTCGCTGCTAATTCTTCTACTATTCATGTTTATGGTCAAAAAAACACTTTCTTTGGATTTCAAATTAAGACGACAGTTTACATGGACTTTTCTTATAGCAAATGTTAGTACACCCATTCTTGGAGCAGATTTTCTCCATTTCTTTGAATTGGTGCCTGATCTCAGAAACAAATGTCTCAAAGATTTAAAAACGCATTTTAAAACCGTCGGTTGCGTGAAAAATGCAAGCATTTATTCAGTAAAAACTGTATTGTGATACCATATCAGAAGACCTTCCAGTTAGTCAGTCAATCGTCGGTAAAAAGCAATTTTTTTCAAAGCAATTATGCATTCCCCACTTCACATGGTTCCAAAAAAGGGAAGTCTGGAATGGAGACCTGTAGGAGATTATCGAGCATTGAACGCTCAAACAATAAAAGACAAATACCCTATTCCATGCTTAGCCGATTTTACTGCTGCATTGCACGGTACTAAAATTTTTAGTCATGTCGACCTGATTAAGGCATACCATCAAATACCAATTAACCCAGCCGACATCCACAAAACCGCCATATGCACACCATTCGGTTTATTCGAAAGTACCCGTATGCAATTCGGCTTATGCAATGCATCCGCGACTTTTCAACGTTTTATAGATGAAGTCACGCGGGATTTAGAAGGCGTTTTTACGCTTTTGTCGATGACTTGCTCATAGCCTCTAAAGATTCTGAGGAACATTGCAGGCATTTGAAAGCTTTATTTTCCAAACTTCAGGAATATGGACTTTGCATAAATGTTTCAAAATGCACCTTTGGTCAAACATCTATTGATTTCTTAGGTTTTCACCTTAGTGAAAACGGAATTGAACCTCTTCCTGACAAAGTCAAATGTATTTTAGATTTTCCTCAACCTACCACTCTCACTCAGCTTCGCCGATTTTTAGGCATGTTTAACTTTTATAGATGTTTCATACCTAAAGCAGCACATATTCTTTCTCCTTTAATAAAATTGTTAGAAGGCTATATTAATAAAAAGAAATCTCGTTCTCGTGTTCAGGATTCATCCCCACAATTAAATTGGAACGAGAATGCTGAACAAGCCTTTATTGCTGCCAAAAATGCCATTGCTCAGGCTACCCTTTTGAGACACCCTATTCCCGGAGCCCAGCTAAGCATCTGGGTAGATGCCTCAGACGTCGCAATAGGCGGCACACTTATGCAGTTGTCTCAACAAACATGGGAACCTATAGCATTTTTTCTCTATGAAACTCAATAAAAGTCAACAGAAATGGTCCGCGTACGATAGGGAATTATTTTCTATTTATTCTGCAATTAAGAAATTCCGACACATGTTAGAGGGCAGAAATTTTATAATTTATACGGATCAAAAACCGTTAATATACGCTTTTAAACAGAACCCTCATAAATGTTCACCTCGACAATTGCGCCATTTAGATTTTATTTCTCAGTACTCTACTGATATTAGGCATGTGCAAGGTTCAAAAAACGTCGTTGCTGACGCTCTTTCAAGAATCGAAATTGATTCCATAACAAAATCTCCATTTTTGGATTTTAAAAAATTTTCGGAAGCTCAACGGCATGATCCGGAGGTACAAGACCTTCTCAAAAACAACACATCATCTTTGAAACTGGAATTTAAACCGTGCCAATATTCTGATGGTAATATTCTTTGTGACATATCAACAGACATTCCTCGTCCATTTGTTCCGAATTCCTTTCGCAGACTCATCTTTAATCATCTGCATAATCTGTCACATCCAGGAATTGCAGCTACTACGAAGCTTATTTGTTCTCGTTATGTATGGCCCGATATGAAACGTCATATCAAAAATTGGGTGAAATCCTGTGAATCTTGCCAAAAATCGAAAATTACTACTAGGCATACTAAAGCACCACTGGGCACATTCTCTCTTCCTGATGCACGTTTTTCAGAAATCCATATGGATATCGTCGGACCGTTACCTCCATCAGAAGGCAACGTGTACCTTTTGACTCTAATAGATAGATTCTCCAGATGGCCTGAAGCCATTCCCATCCCGGATATGAAAACGGAAACCATTTGCAGAGCCATCTTCAACTGTTGGATATCTCGTTTTGGCTGCCCATCGATCATAACAACAGACCAAGGTTCTCAAATGAGATCCGCACTTTTTGCAGAATTTACGCGCATTTTGGGTACGAACAGAATCACAACAACAGCCTATCATCCAATGTCCAACGGCATTGTTGAACGATTTCATCGACATTTAAAATCTTCTCTCAAGGCTCACGAGACCAATAACTGGACTGAAACACTACCAGTTGTTATGCTTGGTATTCGGACAGCCGTAAAGGAAGATCTACAGTCATCTTGTGCTGAACTGGTGTACGGCACAACTCTCAAGCTGCCTAGTGATATGATAACGTCATCTAAGATATCTCCGTATGACACACAATTTATCACGAATCTTCGGCATAGAATGCAACAATTGAATCCAATAGCAACATCTGCACATTGCCAAGAAAAATGTTACGTAAGTGCTACCTTAAAGTCGTGTACGCATGTATACTTACGTGTCGATCGAGTAAAGCCACCTCTGTGCCAACCATATACAGGTCCGCATAAAGTCCTTTCTAGAACGGACAAAACTTTCACAATTGATATTAACGGTCTGAAATCTACTGTGTCTATAGACCGTGTGAAACCAGCCTATTTGCTTTCGGACTCTAATTTGCCTGAACTGAAAACAAATAAAGACTTAAAGACAGTTCAGCAGAATAAATCTGCAAACGAACTCTCTAAGACACAAACTGTCACCAGATCGGGAAGACATGTTCACTTCCCTAAGAAACTTGCTTCTTACATAACAATTTAAAACATTTTTTTTTAAATTCATATCTTAACATATTTCTTGTTATTTCATGTTTATTATATGTGTCAATACCTTGTTATATATTGAATTGCATTTTGATCTTTTCTAATTTTATATTCTAATTTTGTAATCATGTAAAAAAATACCCGACAGTACGGATCCTCTAAGATAATTTCATAACCTATGTCGTTCCTTTGAATAGTTATTAAAGGAACTGGGGGGAAACTCTGTGGTGATGGCGATAAGGAGCACGCCTTGCGCCCTCCGATAAGTGTGGCAACCCTAGAGGAGAAGTTTCTTACGAGTAGCGAGCAGAGCGAAAGAGGCAGGCTGTCGGGGAGTATGCACGATGTTCCTAAATAAAGCTTAACTTTTATTGTGCGCTATGTCTTGTTAATATTTATATCAATGCAGTAGAAACATAATCTGTGATATGGAACTCGAGGATTGGTGGTAAAACATAGTGGGAAATCACCATAGAACTCAATATACTCTCAAGACTCTCCACACTATGACTCGCAGTACACTTGATAGCCTCAATGATACACTAATGAGACTAATACACTAGACTGCTACTCCACTTACAAGCAGGGTTTTAGATAGCATTTGGCTTACCTTCAAGAACATTCTGGGCCAAACTGGTAAGAATTCCTTCTAGAATGGTGTCCATCCATTTATGGCATGTCGCCAAATGGGCAATTTTGCCCCAAATATGGCAACCTCGCCTTTCTCTGCAATTTTCTGGCAACTCTAAACTTGCTTTGGGGGGGGATTCATTTTATTTAATTAAAATGCATTTCATTTTATTACTTCATCAAAGCTGAATTTTAGTTAAATTCAAGGTTAATGGTTGGTATATTTTCAAATTTTAAATTATTCTGGATTTTTTTCATTAAATCGTAATTCTTATTATTTAGATGGTTATTAATAATCATAAGTGATTTTATTTTCATGAATTTTAAAAATATTTCAGTTTATTTTTGTGGCTAATTTTTTATTGGAAAAAATTTAGTTACTGTGTTTATTTCAGGTCACTCTCAGTTAACTTTGAAAACTACTCTGTGCTTGAAATTAGCTGATTCATTTTATGAAAATCCTATACATGCATATGTTCCATATCATCACAACATATTAGGATTGTTACCCGGTGTAAAAGTAAAACTGTATGGATTCCTCTGCTGTTGTTCTAAAAAGGGCTTTCTATATCTTAGAGCATCTACTATGTTTGGTATTCAAGTTGAAAATTCAGGGACATTGACTGAAATTACAACAAGGTATGATGTTAATATTTTTATTAATCATAGTTTGTTTGTAAATATTTCTAAATCTCAAAAGTAAACTTTCATATATGTGAATTTTATTATTGTCATAAATTATCTTTTGTTAAATAAATAAAAAAGCTTTACCGTAAAAGTTTAATTACTTGTAAATATTATTGCAAAATTGTTGCCTTTAATTTTTTAATTATATGTAAGTCATTCAGTGTTTTGTTCATCTTCTACTTTATTGTGTGTGTTGCTAAATGCAAGAATGGTAGAAGTCAAAGTAATATAACCTTTAAAAACACTGTAAATGTTTAACCCTTCATTCGACCAAGTTGTATGTATAAGTTCAAAAATATTTGTCATGATATATTTAAGTACACAGATATACATGGTGTTCGGGATAAATTTGACAGTTTCGTAAGGAAAAAGAAAATCCGCTTGTATGAGTAGTAGTGAAAGTCTTTATTAAGTGCAAGCTTCATTTCATAGTAGAGGCTGCAACATTCATTTCACGTGACAAAGCCCGAATTCCAATGTCAGGGTTCTTCAACACCTGCTCCTGCAGATTTGCGAGGAGTTCTGCTGTACGAACGCCATCAGATCATCTGCTAGGGATCTTTCTTCTTGCTACATCCTCGTAGTCACCATTGCAAGTCTCTAGTTCATGCCTGATTGTTTTTACTGTGTTCAGGGAACATTGGGCAGTAATCATAATATCCTTATTTTGATGGCCGGCACGAATCATCATGATGCAAGTTATTCTCTTCCATGATTCAGGTGGGTTCCAGTCATCCATCCTTTCTGACATCTTGTATATGAATGAAGAAGGGTCCAAACTTTTAAATGACGAGTAGTGTGTGTCAATACCTCCAAACTACGGAAAAATATAATCAATTATAAATATGTCAAATTTATCCCGAACACCCTCTACATCTTGAAAATGGGAGAGTTATTTTTGAATTATAATCAAGAAAATATCATTATTTGTATTTTTATCATATTTTAGAAGTTTAGAGTTTTGAGGTTAAATTGTTGGCTTGAAGGATTAATGTTTATGTGATCATTAGGAAACCAATCTGTGCTTGTTAACTGACATCTTATGCTATTATGCATTAAATTACAACAGAGTCCCCTCAACGCTTTTGTTAGTCAACATCTCCAAGAATTTATCAACCCATTTTGTTGTACTACATAAATATGATAATACAAAAGAAAACACTGATGTGATTTTTAGATATTTTACAGTGTTTAATATCTTTTAGATTACATGTTTCTAATTGGATGCATTATAATAAAACTTTTCATAAAATTGATTGACACTGTTCATTTGGCAGGTGTTTTTGATAACTCTTGGCAAGATGAATAATGTTTGTTTCAAAGTTAATGAGCTTAAGCCTTAAATGTCCAAAGTATTCTGCATTTTATTTTTTATGTTTTGACAAGATGAAATTAATATGGTTAACACCACTTCTACAATGGAAATATAAGCAAAAATGAAAGTTCTGCTTCAGAAAGTTTGTGTATTTTTTTACAACTTTCATATTCATCCAAAACTAACTAAGTCAATTTTTTTAAAAAAAAATCATAATTTTAATATCAGTTAACTATTCTATAAATTCATCTTGTGAGTTATATTTGATATTTTCAATTTCTATTGAAATTGGTCTAGAATGTGTCTAAATTCTAAAAGTGCAATTTAAAATCTTTGTTTAGTTTTTGAAGATACCTGTATATTTCCAAATCTTCATCTTGTATTTCCAATTGCTGAAAATCTCACAACAATGAAGATTTAAACACATCAACTTGGAATTCTTAAAGAATTCTCCAAGATTAAATAATTAAATAATTCAAGAGAATAACTGTGATACTTTACCTTGTAAACAAATCAGGATTGTAAATTTTAAAGACTTAATAAAGGGTACTTTTAATCCTTCTCTTGTGCAGTCACTACTATTCCAGTTTTCACACAAAAGTGAATCTACTAAACTCTACAAAGTTTATGGAACTCAGTAGCCATTTTCTGTGGATATGATGAACTGTGGTGCATGAAACACCTTTTGTTTTAGAAATTATGCATCAGGTGGGTGCCAAAGAACTATACACCCAAAAAGCAAAGGAAACACATGGAAGCAGCATTGACTTTTCTTCACGAAGGCGGCAAGTACCTCAACACTATCATTATAGGTGATGAGACATGGTTTCTCATTTTACTCCTGAAACCAAGCAGCAGTCGATGCATTGGTGCCAAAATGGATTTCTGTGCTGGACTGAATTCAAGCAGACCATATCCACATGGAAACCAATGTGTACAGCCTTCTGGGACAGGAAAGGCATTCTGCATGTTGAGTTTGTGCTGAGGGATGCTATGGTTTATACTGACCATTATTTCACAACACTTGAGAACTTGCAACCAGCTATCCAGAAGAAGAGGCTTGGGATGCTGAGTGTTGGTGTTGTATTGCTCCACAACACTGCTCACCGGCATGTGGTGAATTCCACAAAAAATCTGCTGTAGAAGTTTAGCTGGAACGTGTTTGGCCATTCACCCTATAGTCCTGAACTCGCTCCCACTGGCTTCCACCTCTTCTTGTACATGAAGACATTCCTGTTCAGTCATCATTTTCCCACGGACAAAGATGTGGAGACAACTGTGGCATACTGCCTCCATTCTCAGGTGGCAGACTTTTATTGGATTACAAAAACTTATTCCACAGTATGAGAAGTGTTACACTTCCAATGGTTCTTATGTTGAGAATTAGCTGAAATATTTTTGTACCTTTTGTAATAAATCTTTCCTGGTAATTATATTTTGATTCTTTTTATGGGGTGTGGGAAACATACTTTCTGGGTGACCCTCATAAGATATGTTGGTTAGGATCTCATTGTCAGGGAGATATGGAATCGATGGCTACAGAAGAGCCATACTGAAAACATGCATAATCTCAGTAGCCCAGGCCACTAACACTTGAGAAGACAAACATGTTCTTCACTTTTTAGGATTGTACAGCCACATCACATACCTCGTGTCAGGAAGTTGGCTCATGTGCAGGATCACAAGTGTTCACAGGAGCAGCACAATGACATCTGCAGCACTGCAGACTGTCAGCAGAGTGACCATTGTTACAGTTTTCCTTGACACTGCAGCAAAAAAAAAAAAAAAAAAAAAAAGTGTGGTTGCAGTGGTGCGATGACAACATGGAAGACAGGAGTGGCAACCTGTCATCTTTTCAGGTGAATCCTGGTTCTGCATACAGCATTATGATGAATGTATCTGTGTATAGAGGCACAGAAGAGAATGAATCTTGCTAGCTTGCATTTATTGTCATATGTGCCCAACCCTAGCATGCTAGTATGGGGTGACACTTGGATACATATTCTGGTCATTTCCTACTTGCATATCTTCAAAATGTTGACAGCTGCCATTACATTTCTGAAGTGTTAAGGCTGTGCCCTATCTTTGAGGCTTGCATGACAGCATCTTTCAACTGGATAATTTACAATCACATGTTGTCTGTGCTATCCTGATCTTTTCCTCAATACAGAGGGTGTTTAACTGTTGCCCTGGCTAGTACATTCATTAGATCTTTCACCTGGGACCTGCACACCACCACTCCTCAGCCACTACTGTTGACGAATTTTGGCAAAGAGTTGAAGCCACATGGAATATCCGACATCCAAGCTCGGTTCAATTTAATGCCCAGCCAGATTACAGCTGTTATTGCTGTGCAGCTCTGTGTACTAAATTCTGCAAACCACCTTCAAATTTAACCATGTCTTCCTTCCATTACACTATATATGCATAGTAAATAAGATCCTGTTATTTGATTTCCTTTCTTTTGTATCAGTTTTAATAGCCATCAGTATCAATTATTTTTTCATTAATAGTGATTTAAAATTAACATTTTTAAAAATGATATTTGGCTTTAGTTACTGAAATGTTTTTCCTTCTAATTTTATTCATAATAATGTAGATAATTCTTTGCCATGTTACATTTTATAAACCATACTAAAAATCTCTTTTGCAGTTTTGATTCAAGCAACTGGAACCAGATGAAGAGTATTTCTAATGGAGAAATTATTATTATGGATTTACTAGGCAAAGTGGTTTTAGATGGTGCCTTTAGATGCTTATGTTTTATTTTGAAGATTATTTCAGCAGAAATTATATTATCGTGTGCAAAGTGCTCAAGAAACTCCAGGGAAAACTGTACATGCTGGGCTCCTTATGTATTGAAGACTAGAGTTAGGTATAATTAAATTAATAAATATAAGACTTTAAATGTGGTAGATTTTAAATACTCCATGGTTACATAATTTGATAATTAAACATCTAGACTGATTTTATTGTAGCCAAGATGAGAGCTCCATTGGTCAAATAATGTATGTCATTTAAATGACCAACCTTTGTTTATAACATGAAAAACATTGCAATACTGCCCATTAAGCATAATAGAAAATGTGGCAGGAGTTTGCTTAGTTAGTGGGAGAACATTGCTATAAATGCAGTACCAAAAAAAGAATGAACATTAAATTGTGTTTTAAATTTGCAAAAGGAAATACTGAGGTTGTTGAATTAATGAGACAACTATACGGGGATATTTACTCACCATAGATATTCAGGTGGTATGTATGATTCCCAAATGGATCTCTTGATTCTGTTTTAATGAGGAAATTGCTGCAAAAGTTAGAAAATAGTTGCTAAAATGTCACTGCTTGACTGTTAAAATGATGGCAGATAAATCTGCTGCTAGTCAGGAGACATTTTATTAAATTCTAATGGAAGATTTGGACTAGAAAAATTTGCTAGTTTGCAATATATTCTTTACTGTGAATTTATTTATATATTTTGAATGCTTATGAACTACAGGACAAGTTATGGGTCTTATTAATTCTGTCAGACAAATTATGAATGCATTTTTGATTTAAATATTGTGAAATGCTTATGTTTTATATAATAAATTGTGAATTTGTATAAATATTTAGAAATGTATATCTTTTACAGGACAAATAATAAATCTTTTATTTTCTGTAGGACAAAATGTGAATGCAATTTCGATTTAAATAATTTGGAAAGTTTCTGGAATACTTCTTCAAATTCAACTTAAGTTTTTAACATGTAATAGTCTGTTATTTCTCCATGATAATGCTTCAGTTGAGTGATCAATAGTTTAACAGGAATTTTTGGTCAAAAAATAAGTGTACTTAGCCATCCATTTTAGTCTTCAGATTTGTTTTCCTATTTCCAAAACTGAATTTACAAAAGTACCTTTCTGATGGCACCGAAGACATACAAAAGGGCTTAATATTGAGTCTTCAAGTGAAAAGTATGACATATTCACAGGACATTTCAGGTTTTATTATATCATATCACTTAGTGTAACAGTACTTTGATGGTAAAGATTTTTTTTTTTTAGTTTACTTTCATTGTTTAATTACCAGCTTTCAAATTGTAAAATTTGGCTCCATTATAAATATTACTGTTATTTTTTGACTGTATTGTAAATGTTGTATTTTTTGTGAAAGTGTAAAGCTTTACCTGTGAAACAGTTGTTTAAATTAATATGTGGTGATGTATAAAGAAAAACAGATGGAAAATTTAAACTGATTACATTATATATTAAAATACATTCTGTTATACACATACAGGGTGTTTATAAATGAATGGTGTGGTTTAAAAATTTAATAATAAGTCAATGTATTATGTTACCCGTGTAAAACCTATACCATATGCATTGGCAGCTGTTCAAGTTTCTCATGTGCTACCTGCTGTTTGCTTGTCATGGTTACTGTGCAGCTGCAGCATCAATTTCCAAGATGGTGATGCAACAGGAAAAGTCTTTCTTTGTGCTCCGTTTTGAAGTGTTCAGATCTGTGGTTTGAGTGCAACATGAGTTTCATGCATGTTTTCTGTGCGGTGTGCTGCCAGAAAGTGCTCAGCCCATTTTTCTTCGAATAAGAATTTGATTGGTGACTCATTTCTAGACATGTTGTTACCATAGTTGAACCCAATTATGATGATTACATTTTGCAACTGGACAGTGCTTCACCCCATTTTTACAGGAATATACAGGAGCTTCTTAATCATATAATTCTTGAATGCTGAATTGGAATTGATTGTAACAGCAGACAACAACCCTCTCTCCTGGCCACCCCTTTCGCCGTGATTTAACTCTGTGATTTCTTTCTTTGCAGGTTTGGTAAAGACCAAGTTTATGTACCACTAATGCCTATGTACCTTGAGGAAATTTGTGGTCAGATAAAGCATGCAGTACAGACCATCACAGCACATATGCTACATTTAGTATGTCAAGAATTTGATTACCAAGTCGATATGTTTTGTGTGACATACCGAAGGATTGTGATTAATGCATCAAAAACGTGGACCATTGCCCAATTTATGCTATAAGCTTATGCTTGCCCATATAAAGGGATACATTGATTTATTATTTAATTTTAAAACTGCACCATTCATTTATATATATATAATTACAAAGAAGAGGAAAGTTCAAAAGTGATTGCTTAAAAGTACATTTGATACTATAGTTCCAGAGTAAAATAGTTACACCATGCAATACTAAAGAGGTAAAAGTTATCACATAAAAACTTAATGCAACAATTACAAAACAAGATAACTTCGAAATCAAAAAGGGATGAGAGAAAACTAATAAATTTAAAATCAAAATTTTAATTTTCAAATGATGCAAGCAAAAAATCAAAAAACATTTCAAAAACACAGAAAATATGTACAAAGGATTGCAATAAATGGTAAATTAGCCCAACTCAAGGTTTAATTCGGACTTATCAAGGGAAAAGCGACTTAAATCTCTAATCCAGCTAATACCTTAGCGTGTTTCGGCAAAGGAAAACAACAATTATATATATATATATCAAAAACTTAAATTCAGAATTTATTAAAACATTAAACCATCCTAGAAAAATTCTAAATCTGTATTAAAAGAAACCTATTAAATTTTAAAAATATAAAGCAAATGTTAAATTGATCGCATAGTATTTTTGAAGTTTTTTAAAAAATTGTTTAAAGTAAATCAACTGATTAAATAATGTATTATAATACATTTGAGATTATTCATATTTTCCATGCTGTAGACCGACTTCTCTAGAGGTAGTAATTGGAAGCTTTAAAACCTGAAAAAAACATTTCATTCTGCACGACCTTTTGAGGTAAAAATAAAATAAAAATAGAAAATGAAAGATTATACATAATATTTACACCCCAATCTAAAAAAGTTCCCAATTACCCTGACATAAAATATACATATATATGTCTGTCAGTGTATGCATCCAAATGATCAGAAGGTTGTTGCATGTTCCTTGATCTATTTACACCAAGATATCTTACTGTACATTTATTTACAAGTCTTATTTGCAGGCCTTATGCCAATGGCATGTTTACAAGCATTATGCCCCCTGGTATGTACATGATACACATATTCTGCACCTGGCATGTAAATTGATACATCATACTAGCATTATGCCCCCTGGCACCTGGTTTTCTGCCACCTGGCAGATACTATGCAATTATATCAATTAGGGTAATAAGCACAACATTTCTGGCATGACCGCTCCCTTTAAGTTCCTATAATGCAACTAATTCTTTGTGCGGTGTGCCCTCTGGGTACAGTTCACCGTGATCACCGAGGAGTCCAAAGCATCCTCCCCCCAATGAATTATATTCATCTTAATACAATCTTCAATATGCAAACAAGTAAATCAAAAATGTAGAAACTGTAAACATACAAAAATCTTCAAAAATACAAAATGACATAATTACACTTACCAATTTTCTAGCTTAAACATCTGAACAGTAATAACGTCTTCAATAGCTTACAATTGAACAATTAACTATAAGGTTAAACTAAAACAAATAAATAAAATTATTAGTACAAAAAGAAATATAAAAAATAATAATAAAACATATTCAATATAAACCAAACACTTCAAAGTTAATGTTCTTCAACTGGTAAAGGACACAGTTTGGTAATAGGATGTTTAATGTCCCTGTGCACAGTTTTTAGTCTTACCACTCGTATGTTACTGTCTCTTCCAGGAAACACTTCTATTACTCGCTTGAGTTTAAAACGTAGTGAAGGCATATTATCATCTTTAATGAGAACCAAGTTCTGTAGACAAATATTTCTGCTAGGCTGTCTCCATTTGCTGTGTTGGCACAGGTATTCTTTAGACCACCGCTTCCAAAACCCTTGGAACATCTGCTGTGTTAGTTGCCATCTTTGCAATGGAGACACTCGTACTTCGGTTAAATCTTGTTCCGGAACAGCTGTTAAAGAAGTCCCTATAATAAAGTGTCCAGGAGTCAAAGCTGTCAAATCATTGGGATCACTGGAGACCGGTGTTTTTGGCCTCGAATTTAAGCATGCTTCAATTTGTGCAATTAGAGTTAGAAACTCTTCATAAGTCAAAATTTGAGTTCCAACACACTTGTTTAGATGCAGCTTCATAAATCTAACAGCTGCCTTCTATGTACACAGCTGGCGAGTTGAATATCTACCTTATGTTTTCATTTCTTAACCACCTTTGAACTTTTGAGTTTGACTGGAATGAAGAAATATCTTCCTTGAGGATTTTATTTGAACCTATAAAATTATTTCCGCAGGCACTTCTTATTTCTTGAGGTTTCCCTCTCCTCAAAGCAAATCGTTTAGAGCAGCTAGGAATGCTTCACTTGATAAGTCGCTAGCAATCTCTAAATGGATAGCCTTTGTAGCTAAACAAACGAAAATACAGACATAACATTTAATTGGTCTTATACCTCTTCCCCTTTTCATTTTCACAGAAAATGGGCCGGCATAATCAACGCCAACCTTTGAAAAGGTTCTACTTGGAATCACTCTACTTGCAGGTAGTTCTCCCATTAATTGAATAGATGTTACTGCTCGTACTCTGCAACATTTTATGCATTTCCAAATGCATTTTTTAATTTCATTCTTTGCACTTATTATCCAGTATTTCTGTCTTATTGCGGATAACATTAAATGCAACCCTCCGTGTAAATGTTTTTCGTGATAATGCTGTATTAATAATTTTGTGAAGTGATTATTATTTGGCAATATAATGGGATGTTTACTTTCTCTGGTAATTTCTGCGTTTCTTAATCTACCTCCTACTCTTAAAATTTCGTTTTCATCTAGAAATGGATTAAGTGAAATGATTTTGCTTTTAGTTTTAATCGGTTGTCCTGTCTTTAAAGCCTTGATTTCTTCTGAAA